CCTGCAGCTGTGCAATTTGTTTTCGAGTATGAGTGCGTGTGTTAAAATTTAGCACAACATTCCTCCAGATGCACCTGCTTTAGTTTCAGCCCGACCACCCACCCAACTCATGCCGCCCATTTACGCATTAAGGCTCTTTTGCGATGGCGCAAAATGCAATTTATACATTTCCGTTAAGCAAGCGAAATTCCGACCATATTTTTTCAACTCCACTCCGTCGAGTGCCGACACGTTTTTGCTTTTAGCGGAATGCCATGCGGAAGCGACAACAATGCGGTAAACTAGCTAGCGTACATCCAACCCGCTCGCAAAACAGACCCCGTCTATTCGCCGAAAGCGGCGATCTTTTATAGTTTCTGTCAGGGAATTTAAACTAATTAAAATGTTTTCTAAGGGCATCCGAAATTTGATAAAATAAGCACAGCAACATCACCAGCGGCAAATCGGATTGCGTTATTTATGGCGAAATATGTGGGAGGTCCGCGACTTTTCGACTTTTGCATTCGCATTCTGTGCGCCGCAGTGGGGAAATCAAGGAAAAATATTTAATTTTCCAAATCAATAAACACGCTGATTGCATTGCCTGACAATTGGCATCTGAGTGAGTGGTGGAGTGAGTCGGTGGGAGGCAATAAATCTGGGCATGTGTAAGCGATGCTTCGGTATTTATTTGCCGGGTATTCCGATTGCCATTGCGATTTCGCCCAACTCCCCACTTATTGGTGGTCAAAACGAAGGAGCCAAACCAGAAGACAAACTGTCAACTTGCATGCTACCAAAATGGGTGGGTGGACTTTGCCCCTGCCCTTGAGCACCGAAAAATAATTGAATTCCCCAAATGCCAAAGTGGAATTTTAATTTGCGTTCGGCACTTCCTAGTTGGCCTCAGGCTCTCTAGAAAGTTGGAAGAATTGCTGCCACTGATTGCTGATCAGTATGCAAAATGTGTGCGTGCCAAAATCAGCGCAAAAAACGCTGCGTGGCTGGATGACAAGGAGAAAGGGGGTCAGACATTGTCACACGTACTTTCCTCGCTCCCCTCGAATTGATGTCTTAGAAAATTAGCAAACGCCTTTCAGCCAAGTGCCACATCTCGTGACTTGGAGTTCTCAACACCTTTTTTAAGCTGTTTTCTTTCCGCTCTTCATTTTAGTCTGCTCTCTGCAATCACTCTTTTTGCCAAACCTTTATTTCCAGGGCCTTCTTGTATGGAATGCATTTTCTTTATTACCAAATCGGCTGTGCGGATTGGTATTTGTTAAACTTTTTGGGCCATTTAGTTTTGGCAATCAACCTGAAATACCATTCTATATATTTCAGTTTATGCACGCGCAGCGTAATGTTATTTTGAAATCGATACAATTTATGATTGACAAAACTGCAATCACATGACTAATATTTAGGGCTTTTAATACTCGATTATAGTATGTAAAAATATTTAAAAAATATAAATAACTTTTTCAAATATATTCCTTTTTTGGGCAGTTCCTGTTGCCCGAAGTGACCATCATGTTGGCTAAAAAACAGTGCTATCCCATTGCACATACAGCTGTCTCTTTCGCCGACAGTATCGTGGCATTTATAAACGCATACATATGCATGAGATCATAAAGATTGCGACAGTGCCCGTGTGTGTGTGAGCTTTGTGAGTGCAATGCATTTGTCATAAATGCACACACACACAAAAAACAAAAAAAAAACCCAAAAGAAACTCTATAATGGCATACACGGCGTACACACTCACTCTACACCCGTCCCACTTCCGCACTCTACCTCTCTCACTTCCGCCCATTGGGGGGATTCTCGTCAACGGCATAATGAATGCATCCGCCATCCATTGAAAACTTGACTCATATTTCATAGCCCGGCAAAAGACGAGAGTAAAATTCTACGGGTACATTGACCATCTTGTTGGGGGCTTCATTGTAGTGGCTCGCCTGGTTGTTGTCCACAAATTTGTTGCATTTATATGTGGTATTTGTACGAGTATATTATATCCGCATATGTATATGGGATGTTAAGCCAGTTTTTCACATCGCTCGATGATATTTCATAATCTTTTATCACATCGTTTGCACATAGTACAAATAGTACGTTTAAAATGGCATTTTAAGGCAATTTTTTCACTTGCATTGTGCAAATGAAATGCAATTTTTCGAATAAAGCATTTTAAGTGCAGCTCAGCCGGCTATGACGTGCGTAGGCCACTTTGATGTTGATACACATTATGGGATTACAGAACAGAGCTGGCATATTAATTTTCAATTGCGATAAGCAATTTGGACGGAACTCAGTTTGATGAGAGAGTCAAATTAATTTATACAAATTAAATGTGGAACGGCTTCGCTTATATATACGATAGCTTAATATTAAGCATGTCATGCTGCTCTACGTTCAATCACTAGTTGTTATATTTGCAATGACCTATGCCTTCCAAATGGCCATTTGTTCCTCCAAATTACAGCATAGCACATCTTGTTCATACATTTTTCTAACCATACAGCGCACTTCAGCAGCATTAGCCATCAGATTACGAAAGCATTTTTACCTTCTGCTGCTCGACGGTCTGACAAACTGGCCGACATGAACCGCACATTTCACGCAATTGTCGTTTGCTGACAAAAGGCACGTCAGTCGCCTGCCTGCATTGCAGCCAAGTTGGAATGTCAGAACGGTAAACGGCAAATGTCTGCCAGACAAAGACGACTCAGCACCAGAGCCCCTTAACCTTTGGGCTCCACGGCGTGCTCCTGCCGTCATCCCATCGCAGATCCCTAATTCCTGCATCCACCTGCTGTCTTGCCGAAATACCAAAAACAAAAACCCAAAGTGCAAGCTCATGTGATATGCAAAGAGGAGTGTATAATGGAGTTCCTGTGCAGGCTTATATGCATTGGTGGTGCACTGAAAAAACACTTTCTACGCTCCTCATAGCTAATCAACTTGTTTCTCAATGGTGTCCATTTCACAAAGTTCACTGAAAGGTACTATTTTTTAATGGTTACTACTTAAGTAAATACATCGAAACACGTTTTTTCTAATATATATTTACAATAATATTATAAATAAAATGAATCCCCATGAATCTCCATATTAAACTTAGAATTGCAATATCTCAAAAGGAAATATATAAGTACTCCTTTCTCGCGGTGTAAGTGCGAAGGGAACTGAGATGCTAAACAGAATCCCTGCCAGTGAAAGGCTGATAAAACTCAGGCACACCAGGGCGTATGTGTGATATGTGTGGTATACGATCATGAAGATGACGGCGATAATGATGATGGCGGTGAAGAATGCTAACTGACTTTTGTGCATTCTGGAAAATTGAAACGTTATCTTCGGCCCAGTCGCTGCTGGCTGCCATTGTGATTGAAGCTGCCCGCAGAGAAGAAACTTTTTCCAAGCAGACCTATATTGAGGGATATAGCCAATTTTGGCCTTTGTTCTGAAGGAGAATGCTAGGAAGGGGCCCTCAACATGTTGCATGTTTTTCACATGCGCCAGACCAAAGTTGAATGGAATAGTTTCCCCTTTTTTGGGGCTCGGGGCCGATGAGTTTTCCACTTAATCCCCACATGGGATGCAGTGCATTGTTTATTGTTTGCCCCTCAATGGGATGGTCACGGTAAGCACTTTCCCTTCGACGAGCCCCTTTTGTATGTGCGTTTAGCATAAATTAGAAAGTATCGATCGAGCTGTGGCGAAATTGAAAAGGCAACTTTGCCGCAACCGAAAAAAGTTTCAAATCAATAACCATGGCGAGGAAATGTTTTTCGGCTAAGCTGCTAACCAACAGAAATTGTAATTTCGAAGAGTACTGTGGGGATTTGCGAGGCAGTGGAAGATGAGAGGGAAATAAATAAAACTTGTGCCCTAACCACGCATTCGGTAATTGCAAGAAAATCTCATTTAATCCCAACAAATGCGACTTCATCACGCAAAAAATTATGAAATATTCTCCGTCTCTCTAGGCAGCAATTGCTTTCCTTCCCTTTACATACCATACATACAAGCATAATACATCTAGCTTCATTTATATATCCTTTCCCGTTATTGTTGGCCTTAAGTTGCCTTTTTGTTTTGCTTGTTTACACATTGTCCCGCTCACGCCTTCTGGCCAGAAAAAATGAGTGTAGACAGCAAAAACGGCATTCAGAAGCATTGGTCGTATATTTAGTATCGTAGTTTCTTTTGCAACATCATCATTTTGGCCTTGTTGCGGCTCGTTGGTGGCATTTGAGAGGAGGAGACAAGCTCAATGAGTTGAATCCGTTGAGTACTGAAATCGGGGCGGATCGAGTTATTGACCGCTAAGTAAGCGGTTATTTAATATATAAAATCTTAAAAACACATAAAATGATGAAAACAATCGTAAGCTATTAAGAAAAAATTAAACTATTTTAATAATGAGCTTTGAAAACATTAGCATGTTTATAACATTATGTTTTATAACATTTCGCTCCACCCTCGAATTATTAAACTGTTTCCTGGGCGCTCTTCTTCTTTTTCTGACCATCGTTTCATGCAGATGAATGCGCGTATTTATGAAAAATGTTGTTGTCATCGCAGCACTGTTGTTTTTATTGCCATTTGCTGAATGTGCTTTCGCCTTCGCATCGGCTGATGAGAAATAATGTTTGCGGAAAAATAAGATTTGTTTATTTTACGAACGATTGATTTCGTCTTCCGTTCTGTGCTTGCCGCTCCATTTAGCCAGCTTTTCCGAACCAACCGCCAGCCCGCCCACCGCACTTTCCCCGCCCACTTTAGGCCACTTGTCTTCGCTTCATTTTCCATTTTGCGCGGCTTAAAAATTAATTATCGCCAAAGTCGGGGACTCATCTAGGTCTTTCGTCTGTCAGCCGGACGGCTGTCATTTATATTTGGAGGCTTTGGCGAACTTTTTGAAATATCTCATCAAAGTTTTTGCCGTCCTTCGACGACTTTGTGTCACTTGACTTAGCTGTGATTTGGACTCACTCAGTTTATAATTCACTTACCAGGCACCAGAATGAGGAGGAGTACCAGGGATATCCAGCAAATGCAGCTACGCCCACTTCGGGAACCATGGAATCCATGGTATCCAAAGTCCTTCTCCGACCTCCGCCGATTGGCCATTTGCAAGTGACGGGTGCTTGCCCCCAGTATAGTTGTGTTAGCCATTGAAATATATGATTTTACTATGATTTCACTAGGGCCTGTGTCCTCCGTTTTGTTATTTTCCTTTTCTCGATCCTTCCTCGCTTCCTTTTGGTCCTTATAAATATATATGGGCCAATAAATGTCAATTGAGTTTGGCCTTTTTCTGAAATAGTTTTCTCAGCGACAGAAATTCAACTGCAATTGTAAGAAAATTAAAATTTAGATTAGATTGGAATTATGGAATGTTGAAAGGGTTTCACTATATTATAGTTGTACCCGTTACTCGTAGAGTAAAAGCAAAGACACTGGAATAATAAGATGCGTAATACATTGGTTTTGCACTATGCAGCCACTTTTTTGGTGGTGGCAGTAATTGTTCTCTTCCCGCTCGCATAAAATTGAGAGCATAAGAATCTAAAAATAGAATTCACTTGCTTGTGTGAGTGAAAACAGTAAACAAAAAAGTTGTGCTAGAAGACGATTTTCGGTCCGAAATCAATTTTGACCTAAGAAACGAATTTGAATAATGTTTTGGTCAATTTGGTTGTAATATGAGCTAAATATTATTTAAAAATTTTAAAAATTAAAAACTTGCAATGCTTAAAAAGTAAAACTTTTATAATTTTGTTTAAATTATGTATCAATTTTATGCACATAACAGTCATTATTTGAGTGAAACCATAATGAGAAATCGCTACTTTCATTTGTGCACTTAATGCATTGCTCTGCAATAAATTGTTTTATACACCGTTGTTTTTTATTATTTTTAAAAATATTTTCAAAAACTTTAATATGTATTTTGCAGATATTAAAATTGGTTTTCCAAAGTCCGATTCTATCGAGCACTTTTTCTCATGTATGAAAAGCTCAGATGGAACTGTTAAGTGCTAAAACTACTCGATTGCCAGAGTACAAGTAATATAGATTTTTGTTTAGGAATCATATTTTCTTGTAACCCTATAATTCCCAACTAGTTCTAGTTAGGACTGTAAGGCATGTCTTCTAATTTAGAGTCGCAAAGTAGTTCAAGTAATCTCTCTTACTGGTCGAGCAGTGAGTGTAGTGTATGTGTAGTGTATGTGTAGTGTATGTACCGGTGTATGTATGTATTTATGCATGTCTATATGTATGTATGTATGTATGTATGTATGTATGTATGTATGTATGTATGTATGTATGTATGTATGTATGTATGTATGTATGTATGTATGTATGTATGTATGTATGTATGTATGTATGTATGTATGTATGTATGTATGTATGTATGTGTGTGTGTATGTATGTATGTATGTATGTATGTATGTATGTATGTATGTATGTATGTATGTATGTATGTATGTATATATGTATGTATGTATGTATGTATGTATGGATGGATGGATGTATGTATGTATGTATGTATGTATGTATGTATGTATGTATGTATGTATGTATGTATGTATGTATGTATGTATGTATGTATGTATGTATGTATGTATGTATGTATGTATGTATGTATGTATGTATGTATGCGTTACTTGCACAACGTAGTGTGTGTGTATGTGTTCTTAAGTGTGATTACTCGCAAGATCAAATTGGCATCCCTCTTGAACAAATAACCGGGCAAATCTTATTCATACAAGTGTTTGTATACTTTTTAATATTTATAATAAAATATGTATAATATTTATTTATTTGTATAATATTTTTCATAAAAAATATTTAAAATACAATATACAATTGTTGTAAAGAAATTTTTGTTTAGGAATCATATTTTCTTGTAACCCTATAATTCCCAACTAGTTCTAGTTAGGACTGTAAGGCATGTCTTCTAATTTAGAGTCGCAAAGTAGTTCAAGTAATCTCTCTTACTGGTCGAGCAGTGAGTGTAGTGTATGTGTAGTGTATGTGTAGTGTATGTACCGGTGTATGTATGTATGTATGTATGTATGTATGTATGTATGTATGTATGTATGTATGTATGTATGTATGTATGTATGTATGTATGTATGTATGTATGTATGTATGTATGTATGTATGTATGTATGTATGTATGTATGTATGTATGTATGTATGTATGTATGTATGTATGTATGTATGTATGTATGTATGTATGTATGTATGTATGTATGTATGTATGTATGTATGTATGTATGTATGTATGTATGTATGTATGTATGTATGTATGTATGTATGTATGTATGTATGTATGTATGTATGCGTTACTTGCACAACGTAGTGTGTGTGTATGTGTTCTTAAGTGTGATTACTCGCAAGATCAAATTGGCATCCCTCTTGAACAAATAACCGGGCAAATCTTATTCATACAAGTGTTTGTATACTTTTTAATATTTATAATAAAATATGTATAATATTTATTTATTTGTATAATATTTTTCATAAAAAATATTTAAAATACAATATACAATTGTTGTAAAGAAATTGATTACCCTACACTGAAAGGGATATATATTTTTATGTTTATTCGTATACAAAGTGCTATCCGAAGTTCTAAACTGCATAACTCAACTTATCTTAATCGGATTTTGAAGTGGCATACCTCTTAATGTTTCTGGCGCAATTCTCTAAAAAACTGCATTCAAATTTAGAAATTTATTTTTATTGAATTTTTTTCCAATTTTTCTTATGTATAATGTTGTAGAAATTCAAAGAAACTAAGAAATGTCCCATATCCGAAGTTCTAAACTCCATAACTCAACTTATCTTAATCGGATTTTGAAGTGGCATACCTCTAAATGTTTCTGGCGCAATTCTCTAAAAAACTGCATTCAAATTTAGAAATTTATTTTTATTGAATTTTTTTCCAATTTTTCTTATGTATAATGTTGTAGAAATTCAAAGAAACTAAGAAATGTCCCATATCCGAAGTTCTAAACTCCATAACTCAACTTATCTTAATCGGATTTTGAAGTGGCATACCTCTAAATGTTTCTGGCTCAATTCTCTAAAAAACTGCATTCAAATTTAGAAATTTATTTTTATTGAATTTTTTTCCAATTTTTCTGATGTATAATGTTGTAGAAATTCAAAGAAACTAAGAAATGTCCCATATCCGAAGTTCTAAACTCCATAACTCAACTTATCTTCATCGGATTTTGAAGTGGCATACCTCTAAATGTTTCTGGCGCAATTATCTAAAAAACTGCATTCAAATTTAGAAATTTATTTTTATTGAATTTTTTTCCAATTTTTCTGATGTATAATGTTGTAGAAATTCAAAGAAACTAAGAAATGTCCCATATCCGAAGTTCTAAACTCCATAACTCAACTTATCTTCATCGGATTTTGAAGTGGCATACCTCTAAATGTTTCTGGAGCAATTATCTAAAAAACTGCATTCAAATTTAGAAATTTATTTTTATTGAATTTTTTTCCAATTTTTCTGATGTATAATGTTGTAGAAATTCAAAGAAACTAAGAAATGTCCCATATCCGAAGTTCTAAACTCCATAACTCAACTTATCTTCATCGGATTTTGAAGAGGCATACCTCTAAATGTTTCTGGCGCAATTCTCTAAAAAACTGCATTCAAATTTAGAAATTTATTTTTATTGAATTTTTTTCCAATTTTTCTGATGTATAATGTTGTAGAAATTCAAAGAAACTAAGAAATGTCCCATATCCGAAGTTCTAAACTCCATAACTCAACTTATCTTAATCGGATTTTGAAGTGGCATACCTCTAAATGTTTCTGGCGCAATTCTCTAAAAAACTGCATTCAAATTTAGAAATTTATTTTTATTGAATTTTTTTCCAATTTTTCTGATGTATAATGTTGTAGAAATTCAAAGAAACTAAGAAATGTCCCATATCCGAAGTTCTAAACTCCATAACTCAACTTATCTTAATCGGATTTTAAAGTGGCATACCTCTAAATGTTTCTGGCCCAATTCTCTAAAAAACTGCATTCAAATTTAGAAATTTATTTTTATTGAATTTTTTTGCAATTTTTCTGATGTATAATGTTGTAGAAATTCAAAGAAACTAAGAAATGTCCCATATCCGAAGTTCTAAACTCCATAACTCAACTTATCTTAATCGGATTTTGAAGTGGCATACCTCTAAATGTTTCTGGCGCAATTCTCTAAAAAACTGCATTCAAATTTAGAAATTTATTTTTATTGAATTTTTTTCCAATTTTTCTGATGTAATGTTGTAGAAATTCAAAGAAACTAAGAAATGTCCCATATCCGAAGTTCTAAACTCCATAACTCAACTCATCTTAATCGGATTTTGAAGTGGCATACCTCTAAATGTTTCTGGCGCAATTCTCTAAAAAACTGCATTCAAATTTAAAAATTTATTTTTATTGAATTTTTTTTCCAATTTTTCTGATGTATAATGTTGTAGAAATTCAAAGAAACTAAGAAATGTCCTATATCCGAAGTTCTAAACTCCATAACTCAACTTATCTTAATCGGATTTTGAAGTGGCATACCTCTAAATGTTTCTGGCGCAATTCTCTAAAAAACTGCATTCAAATTTAGAAATTTATTTTTATTGAATTTTTTTCCTATTTTTCTTATGTATAATGTTGTAGAAATTCAAAGAAACTAAGAAATGTCCCATATCCGAAGTTCTAAACTCCATAACTCAACTTATCTTAATCGGATTTTAAAGTGGCATACCTCTAAATGTTTCTGGCGCAATTCTCTAAAAAACTGCATTCAAATTTAGAAATTTATTTTTATTGAATTTTTTTCCAATTTTTCTGATGTATAATGTTGTAGAAATTCAAAGAAACTAAGAAATGTCCCATATCCGAAGTTCTAAACTCCATAACTCAACTTATCTTCATCGGATTTTGAAGTGGCATACCTCTAAATGTTTCTGGCGCAATTATCTAAAAAACTGCATTCAAATTTAGAAATTTATTTTTATTGAATTTTTTTCCAATTTTTCTGATGTATAATGTTGTAGAAATTCAAAGAAACTAAGAAATGTCCCATATCCGAAGTTCTAAACTCCATAACTCAACTTATCTTCATCGGATTTTGAAGTGGCATACCTCTAAATGTTTCTTGCGCAATTATCTAAAAAACTGCATTCAAATTTAGAAATTTATTTTTATTGAATTTTTTTCCAATTTTTCTGATGTATAATGTTGTAGAAATTCAAAGAAACTAAGAAATGTCCCATATCCGAAGTTCTAAACTCCATAACTCAACTTATTTTAATCGGATTTTGAAGTGGCA